GATTAACACATAGAATTCACTGCCACAGGAAGTGGTGGGTCTACAAGCATGGACGGCTTCAAAAGGGAATTAGATAAGCATATGGAGCAGAGGTCCATCAGTGGCTATTAGCCACAAGGTATAGCTAGGGGCTCTGGGGCAAGTGATGCTCTGTCTTCTTGGTGCTTGGGGGGGGTCAACAGTGGGAGGGCTTCTAATGTCCTTGCCCCACTGCTGGACCTCCTGATGGCACTGCGGTGACACAGAGTGTTGGATGGGCCTTTGGCCTGATCCAACATTGGCGTCTCTTATGTTCTTATGTTCTTAAGTCCTGGGTCAATCCTTCCCTCCAGGAGCAGCACCATTTTATTGAGATTAAGCTTCAGTTTATCAGTTCTCTTCCACCCCAAAACTGCTTCCAGGGTCTGGAACAAGGTTTCTTATGTTCTTATGTTCTTAAGTCCTGGGTCAATCCTTCCCTCCAGGAGCAGCACCATTTTATTGAGATTAAGCTTCAGTTTATCAGTTCTCTTCCACCCCAAAACTGCTTCCAGGGTCTGGAACAAGGTTTCAACATCCTCCCTGGGATCTGCAGGAATATGAGATAGAGCTATCACCCACACACCCCAACACCTCCTTTTGAAACTTACCTTCAAGGTAGGACTGAAACCACCCCAAAATGGTGCCTCCCAATCCCAACCCTGAAAACCAGTCCTAGAAGTATGCCGTGATCAATCATATTAAGAGCCGCTGAGAGGTCCAGGAGAATCAATAAGGTCACCCTCCCTCTATCCATCTCCTGATGCAGGCCATCGATCAGGATGACCAAGGGTGCTCTACTCCCATAAACAAGCCTGAAAGATCCAAGCAATCTGCTTCATCCAAGAACCTCTGGAGCTGTCTAGCCATCCTCCATTCAATCACTGTGCTCAAGAATGGTAGAGATCCAGCATGGTGTAGTTAGAGTGTTGGACCAGGATCTAGGAGAACCAAGTTCAAATCCCCACTTGTGCCATGGAAGCTTGCTGGGTGACCTTGGGCCGGTCACACACTCTCAGCGTAACCCACCTCACAGGGTTGTTGTGAGGATATAATGGAGGATGGAGAATGATGTAAGCCACCTTGGGTCCCCATTGGGGAGAAAGGCAGAGTATAAATAAAGTAAATACATAAATATGTTTGAGACTGTACAATAGTTTAGAACTCCTGCTCCAGAGAAGAATTCATTAGGAGTGGACTCGGAACTGCCTGTTTCAAGGTGGTGGCAACCATCCCATCACTCTAGGAGGCATTTACTGTCTCCAGCATTGTACTTGGCTGAATGAATTGCTCTCAGGGTTTGTTAGATTTGGAACTCAACATTGGCCCAGTCTGCATCCAGTGTTCCCTCTAAGCTGAGTTAGTGTGAGCTAGCTCACAGTTTTTTAGCCTCCAGCTCACAGATTTTTGTCTTAGCCCAGGAAGAATGGCTCCAGAGCAAACTAATTCATGCAGCAGCCAAATTGCTTGCTCATAACTTTAATGCCAGTAGCTCACAAAGTAGAATTTTTGCTCACAAGACTCCACAGCTTAGAGGGAGCATTACTGCATCTAGCATTTGCTCCAAACCCACACTGGAACAGAAAAAGATGTGTCTCAAAACCACATTCAAATATCCTGGGCCAACGCCATACTGACTGCAGAGTCACCCCTGAATGGCCATAAAACGGCCATAAATCTATGCAGACGGCCACCATAAAACCTAGAGAACAAACGAAGTGCAAGTGGCATGCAGTCCGGATGCGGCTATAAAATCTCACAATCAAAGTGAAAGTGGCATGCAGCGTAGAGGGGGATTTCTGTTCCATCGTGGGTTTGGTAAAACAGCAGAGCAAATGCTAGATGCAGATTGGGACTGAGTGACAGACTTGGAACATTTAAACTGGCAACAATGTAAATTTGTCAGATTCTCTCATTTGACAGCCCTAATTTTATAGCAAACATGACTGTGAATGCCGGAAACCTTGGACTGGAAGATAGTGGGTTGTATCCAACTACACAATTCCCCGAGACTTGTAAATTCAGAAGAGGGAGT